TTTTTTTTTTTTTTTGGTTAAGAGTTTAATTTTCATACTAAAGACAGAATTAAAAGTAATACTTTCTAAGTGTCTTGCACCTGTTAGCTCTAGCTGTCCAACAACAATGAAAAGCTCCTTAAACTCAGAGACGTCTCCTTTGCTTTCTGATGTTCTCTATGATGTGGTACAGTGCAAGACACAAAAATCAAATTTAAAAAATCAAATCACACATCAATAATATAAAACAAAATCAACTGAAATGTAGAGATCTAATACATATCACTCAGTGCTTATTTTTGGGTCAAATAGTAATTGATTAGAGGAGGGGTAACTAACAGCTAAAAAACAAACCAGTTGCTGTGCAGCCAGTTCTGAGTCATGGCAATCACAATGTTCCAGAGAATGTGCTCCACAGAGTTTTCAATGGTAGTAACTTTGCAGAAGAAGATGCCAGGCCTCTTTTCCAAGACACCTCTGAGTAAATTTGAGTCATTAAATTGTCATTTGTACTTGAGCAATTTAGCATATGCACCACCCAAGGGATTCAACATGGAGTGGCCCTTAAATGAATGTTTGTTAATCAGTGAGTGACCTCGTTAACTTTAAATAATCTTAAAGGTCTGCAGCCAATTAACCTGATTACCTTCCCATGGGGGCCAGTATGTGATGGCTGCAAACAGCAGCCTCCTCAGAAGTATATGCAGCTTGCTGGCATGTATAGGCTGCCCTAAGGGACCTTGAGGACAGCCCTTTGCTGCTCTTTGATGGTTCTGACCTGGCTAATTTCTACTGTCCCTAAGATAGGCTCCCAATTGGGATGAGAGGTACTTTCAGGAAACCCTAAGGCAGGGGTCCTCAAACTTTTTAAACAGGGGGCCAGTTCACTGTCCCTCGGACCCATTGGAGGGCCAGACTATAGTTTAAAATAAAACTATGAACAAATTCCTATGCACACTGCACTTATCTTATTTTGAAGTAAAAAAACAAACAGCAAAAACACCCGGCTGGCCAGATAAATGTCCTCAGTGGGCCACATGTGGCTCGTGGGCCGTAGCTTGAGGACACCTGCCTAAGGCATGGTGGCTAGGCTCCATATCAACCAAGCCATTATGTCTATCTGCACCAAGCATCAAAACAAGGAGCATGTGACTGAGGTCTTATCCAGGCCAAGTTCAAATTCCCTGGGATCAAGAAGATCCACAGTGGGGTTTCAACAAGTTTAATACCAATGAATCTGGTGACATGGTAGCTGAGAAATGCCTCATCTCAGATGGCTGTGGAGTCAAATACATCCCTAGTTGTGGCCCCTCGGACAAGTGGTGGGCCCTGCATTCATGAAGGCCTTGGTAGCCCTGTACCTTGCCTGACTTAGGCCCACCAATAAATTGAACCACCTGACTCCAATCAATCAATCATCATAAATGTCAACTACTTATCATAATGTTCTTTAGAAATGAACCTACATACTAAAACAAGCATTTATTACTATAAATAAATAAAATCCTAAAATCTAGATAAAAGAAATTGAATCTAATACTGAGCCTACTTCAAATTCTTTTTTCTTTCATGAAAAAGGTTTTTTTGGTTATAAACAAAATTTTAAATTGCAACTAACATAAGTAATAATAAGCACTAAAACAAATATTTCGTTACTTCTACCTATTATCTCTAGACACTAATGTTCTTATAGCCTTAGCTTGTTCACAGATGATCTAAAAAGGCAAAAGGTACATTATTATACAAAATAACTACTGATTACTTAGATCACTGGTTCTCA